TCTTCAAAATTTTTGTTGGAAAAATTTTGCTCTATCTTAAAAAATAAAGAAAGGGAGGTGGAAATTATTTCCTATGACAAAAAGTAAGATAACTCTGGATTATGTAACCGATTTCAATGAAGTTGAGCTTGTTGAAAAGGCAATTCATTGCTTAATCATAACCTTAAATTGAATTTCAATTTAAAAAATAAAGAAACCGTCAATTGCCCCTGTTTTCCTAATGAAAGAGTTTTATCGATTTTAAAATTTTTTTTTATTTTATGGTGTTTTTACAGATAAAATAACGAAAAAAATGCCGCAAGCCGGAACCTTGTATCTTCTTTCAAACTGAAGTTATTAACAAAAGTTTAGATAAAATGATATTTTTTTGAGGAGTTAAAGAAAAATGCGCTATTTATTGCAACATCCAGTATTTACCTGCATAGAATACCGAGCACCTAAATTATTACTACCCTTAGGAGTCCGAGTGTTAAAATAATTTAATAACAATGCGAAATAAATTATATTTATTAAATGAACAATAATAGCTAAAACAAAAAATGTGTTCACAAAAATAAAACAGGAAATAGAATATAAATTTACAATTTTAATTTAACAAGTGTTCAAAGTGACCTCCATTATTTTCTACACATTTTAGATACCTTTGGTGGATAAAAGACACAGCAGTTTCAATTTCTGCAGTTTATAGCGTTTCTGATACGATTAATCATATCCTCGCGCGTAGTTGGTCGGGTTTGATAGACAATATCTTTTAGCCTTTTCTATAAATAGAAGTCTAAAACTGTCAAATCGGGACATCTAGGCGGCCAACCGAATGATCCACCTCTTCCAGCCCAACAAATAATTTCTGACATTTCGAGAAAAATGCACAGCTATCATACCACATATTTAAAGAGGTGGCTAATGAAACATATTCCAAAAGAAGTGGTAGCTCATTCCTTAGGAAGTTTAAATATCTCTCACCATTGAGAGATTCTTCCAAAATAAACTGAGGGTTGCTTTCGCTGTAAGCAAGAATAAAACGCTCTCTCAACGGTAATAATAAAGAATTTTATCGAAAACTAAATTGTGGAAAAAGACGTGTTGACGGTTTGAGGGTTTGCTGGAGAGTGCCTTGTGGTTGAAGTCGGTCGTAGGTAGCTTGGTAGTCGGTGGCAGAAGTCCCTGGTCCTGGCGTCACTCTGCAGGGGTCGGTTTCCGGGAACCCCGTGGTGCGTCCGGCGGCGTTTATGACGTTGTCCTTAAAAATGGGTCATTTGCAACATGTGTCCCCACAAAAACTATTATTTTTCCTTCAACAATACCGCATCACACATTAAGCCCAATAATGTATTTACCCATGCTAGTAAATGTAGCTTCATCAGTCCATAAGATTCTAGATAAAAAAAATTGGATCGTCTGCAATCTTTTATCAGTATCTAATGCATGGAGAGTTTGATGAACTTGGTGTGGATCCTTTAAAATACGTTAAATAGCTGACCTTGATACTCCTATGTCTCTTTCTATATCTCTTATACTTGACCGAGGATAAGCTTCAATGTATCCCAGTACGTTTATCACATTTTCCTCATTGCAGGTTCTTCAGTATCTATTTGTAGCTGGTACCGGCAGAACATGTCCAATTTGTCTGAAACGTCTTGCAAGGCGGGTAATTCGTGAGAATGGCAATAACAGCATTTTCAAAACATTCAAAGAACACAAGAAATAAATCACGAGACACTTAAATTTTAAAAAATTAAAAAATTATATATATTTGATACTCACAGTGCAATAGTAAATTTTGCCTCGAGAAATTTTTTAAGTGTCGTGATTTATTTCTATTCTCTTCATCAAATTCAATAAAAAAAATTATTAGTTCGTTGATATTTATTTTTAGAGGTCGCTCGAAAACAAACACCTTTAGAAATTAAAAAATCAATTTTTGACGATTTTGGGAATTTTTTAAAATCTTGAGCGACCTCTAAAAAAATGTTTTTTGAGCTGATTTTTTTGAGGGGGCTCTTAAAACATGATAAACTAATATATGTTCACAAGAGACACGAAAAAAAAATTCGTTTTTTTGGGTCACTCTAATATACAGGGTGACCAAATAAAAACGAAACAGAGCCATTTTCAGGAACTGCGTCAAGATTGTAAAAAAACGCTCAGACCCGTCGATTTTAGATTAAAGGGGGACGTTCTTTGCTGGTATTTTTGACTCCGCCACTTTCACCTCCAAGCAAGGGTAAGCATCACCCCAAAATATTTAAATGGCATTGGGGGTTAAGTAATATTGCTCTTGAAAGCTCTTACAATTCTCTTTACAGCAGACTTTAAATTTTATAATTCCGCCCAATACTTATTAAGAATTTTGATTTTAAAGTTGAAACTTTTGTGCAAACAATTAGTAACGGTAAAAATGTCAATCATTCGAGTTAAGTACGCCAATGGTATAAATTTAGTATTTCTTGCATTACATTGGTTTTTGGCGATTTGTTATCACTTGTAAAAAAAACAATTGTAAAAAACAGAAATTAATGCTATACACACATAATGAACGTTAAATTAGTGGATTCCAAATTATTTTCTAGTATTATTTGGAAGCGTTGGTTGGTAGTTTATTTAATTGTGTTTTTGAAAATTAAACACTATGTTTTTTTTCCATTGCGGAAAGGGTAGATATCATTTCGCTTTACTTTATGAACAATAAATGTGCGAATAGAACAGCTCAGCTATTTAATGAACAACATCAAGATCAACATGTCAGGAGGAAGTATATTCTAGAGTTAGTAAAAAAATTTCAAGAGACAGGGAACGTAGCCAATAAAAAAACTAGAAATTGAGAAACCTATAGTTAATGAAGCTAGTCAAGTTGCAGTTTTGGGACAAGTTCATCTTGATCCTACATTAAGTGAGGCAGCTGGCATCTGTGTCTGGGATCAATCGAACTAGCATATAAACCATTTTGAAGAAGAATAAATTCCATCCATACAAAATACATTTAGTCCAGGAACCAGGTCCAGACCGCCATTTGAAATTTTGCGAAATAATGAATTTCTGCATTTAATTCAGGAATAGTATTTATTTGGGCAGAATAAACTTTGGAATTTACGAATCCTCACAGAAATAACTCGCAAGGCGTAAGATCGCATGATCTGTCCAAGTCACTTCACTGTTACGTGAGATGAGTCGGACATTAAATTTCTGCCGTACCAAGTGGATAGTTTTACGTGCCGTATGGCAGATAGTATCAACTTGGTAGTACCACATCTTATCCAAATCCATGCTATCCAAATGAGACCACAAAAAGTTCAATAGCATCTCTCGATATCATTCTCCATTGACAGTCACTGCATTTCCAAGCTCATTTTCAAAAAAGAAAGAATCACCCCACCACACTGTCACTCTTTGGGTATACAGTTGTCGTTCTTAAATGATCCGAGGATTGTCCTTGTCACAAATTTGCTTGTTCACATACTCACTAAGATGGAAATGCGCCTTGTCGCTAAAGATGATTTTCTTGCAAAATCACCGTCCACTCGTTGATTCTCCAACATCCAATCAACGACGTCCGGCGCATCAGATGGTCGCCTGGTTTCAATTTCTGGGTTAGCTGATTTTTAAATGGATGCAGAATGCAGTCTTTTGTTAAAATCCGCTGCATTGTGCTTATTGGGTTACGGGAATTTCCGCCACACTATCACTCCCCATAGCAATATTTTCGGCTGAACGGCCAGTATGAAGCCGGCCTGTTTTTTTATTGACTGTAACCAAACCTGTTTGTTCAATTTGGCAATTAATCTTTTCACAGTTGTTTCAATCGAGGCTTTCCTTCTACCGAAAATTTGCGCACAATTTCAGCTACGCAATCGCAACGTGTTTACTATAATAGGTGACTACACAATGTTGCTAACTCTTCAGAATGAAAATGGCGCATAATTCAAATCCTGCATTACTTAAATTTCGATTTGTGGGCAAACCGAATACTTGTATCGGTAACGAAGTTATTACTGGAATATTTTGGTTTTTAACGATTAATAAAAAATAATAATTATTGAAAGTGAAAATTTTGAGTACACCGTATTATTATTTGTCTCATCTATGATGCAAACTAAAAATATCATACTACCTATATTAATAATTATTTACTATCACTTTCTACAAATGTATTAATGAAACGTTTACTTTAATGGGAAATGTAAATATAAACATTTTTTTTTAATTTAGGGTGGAAATAGTGGGTAGATCTTGTAAAAATGATATAACAAGATTATTAGATACAAATACATTTACAATGTCAATGGCATTTAATTTAAGCATTTCTGCTACGAAATATTTTAAACTTATTTATTCCTTATTAAGATGTGAGGGAAACAGAGATAAGCAAATTTTGAAAGAGGTGCATTTAAAAAAAAGTTCGTATATCTCAAAAACGGTCATAAAAATTTAAAAAAATGCTCGATATCTTTTTTGAGGTCGTGTTTACCGAGTTTTTTGCCCATGGGTCTCCAAAGTAGCTAACGATAAATTGAATAAATTCGTCAAAATAGCTTCAATACCCAATAGGTATTATCCAAATATAATGAACAATAACAAAATTATAACAAAAAATTTGTAACTATATTGAGACTAGGAAAAATAAACATATTGCATCATTTTTGTCTATCCATATCCGAGAGATTGTCCATTTTCAAGTAATCTTATGGTAGCTGAATATTTTTTATGATTTTTATTTTTATTGCTTTCTTAAATATTATTATATTTATTATTAATAATTATTATTATTAATTAATAATTATTATTTATTAATTAATAACAGTCAGAACAAAATCAGAACTTGCTAACAACTGAATTTACTTACTGACCATGCGCGCTTTTATCATCTTTCGGGAAGTGTGCACTGAAAACTGTACTACAGAAATTGTATCTTTTGTCAATAAATGACAACAAATTTATTCGATTTTATGGTTCATTTAATTACACTAAATAATTTGATTTATAAGTATTTTTTTTATTTCCAGATGGCGACTGATTTTCCAACCGAAAATAATGCGAGCAATAATGAACCGACGATGCTGACTTTAAAAAATCCAAGGGCGACCGTAACCACAACTTCGGTAAGTATAGACAACCTATTCATTAATAGACCATTTTATACATTCTATCGCATGTAATAATTTGTTTATTTACAATTAATTATTATTTCTGATTGCATATGCTTCTACAAGAAATAAACATCACGATTTTAATTAATCTTTATTTTATCCAATCTGTAAATTACCCAAGAAGGTCAGTATTTATAACTTGGAATGTTTATGTTTATGAAAACTGCCTATGTACGTCTTAATACAATTATTAAAAAACAGCATATTGCTTTCATATGTGACTCTAAGTTACTCTGCATCTTTAATTTTTCCCTATAGATGCAACTACATGTACGCATATACATAAATGTGTATATTTTTAATTAAGTAATAAACAATATAATACTCGTAAAAAGTAGATGTACCTACCTAATTATATTCTATGAAGAAATTTTTTCCATAAATATTTAGAGTAAAAAATACATAAGCTAATAGTAAAACATGTTTTTAAAAAAGAGATTCTTTCAAATTATTATCTGCAGTTAGCAATAAATATCTTAGGAAGCTAATCTTAATCTAGAAAAAATTAGCACGACTCTTGGAGAATGCAAGAGTAAAAAAATTTGATTTCAGTATACAGGGTGTAACTTTGAGTAGGGGTCATATTTTTGCAGAGGCTAATTTCGTCGTGAAAACTTAATTTTTTTATTCTTTTTACTGTAACTTCAAACTAGGGTGCACTTTAGTCGGAGAGCGTGCACAATTGCGAACTGGGCTGTGCAATGTTGTCAAATCTAATTTTTAAAGGAAATGTTATTAAAAAACAAATTTCCACGAGATCTACCGTGCCACAAAAACTAAAGTCTAATTTCTTTAAATAAAATAAACTATGAAACAGTATTTAACAAGTAATCTAACAGAAAACTCAAGCAATAATCAATAATGGTAAATTAAATAAACAAAAATAAATAAATAATCTGTTTACTCACCTGATTTTTGACATAACACTTTGTGGCAAATCTTCGAGTACTGGTATCAAGATCCTTTTCCACGGCGTTTAAAATTTCTGGCTCAAAGGTCCCATAGTTTGTTAAATGTTGAAGTGATCTGACAAACATTTTTTTATTCGGTACTTATAATTCAGCGTAATCTATCTATCGTTTTATTTGCTCCTGACAAAAAGTAGCCTCTAACCATATCAACTCTTTGTTGATTCGTATACATGCTTTTTCATAATGTACAAAAACTTGAAATTAAAACAAAATTTCACTGTATCATCACTGAAAACTAAAATAAATAACTGTATCAAGATTATACACTTATACCACATAAAGGCACTTTATGTACCACCTTCCCCAAACAAAGTCGAAGACTAAACAAATAGGTAACCAAATGAGACAGTACTGTTTTCGGCCATTCCTGTGTTATTCAGGCGTGACGACAGTCGGTTTAATAAAACAGCTATTTTTTAGTGTTCAACGCTTCGTCCACATTGGCAGAAAAATGGTGATTTTCAAATAATAAATCGTTGTAATATTAATTCATGAATCTGTTTTCATAAAATTATTTTTAATTAGTTTTGTTGTTTAACAGTTGATTAGAAAATATATTTACAATTAGTAACGTATCCCTGTATCAATTTTAGTTAATATTAAATAAGTCATGTAAAAATTATACAATGTAGATTGATTTAAAAACAACTGGCAACGTTGATAGTGCACTTACACAATTTCACACACAAATTCCGGGTTTACGCAGCTCAGTGGCGGCGTACATAAGAATTAAAGTGCATTTTGAAAAACTAATTATAACTCTATTCGATTAAAAAATATATATAATTTCAGATTCCTGTTCAGGGGAACACGTACATCCCTAAAAAACTGACCCTCACTTAAAGTTAAACAAATTTTGTTGTAATCAATAGCAATTATTGGTTGTAAAATAAATAAAATTGTGTGTGCGCCTAATTCGTACTTACTCATTATTTTCATTTATATATTCACAATATAAAGAACATGAAGTATTTATTTATTCTGCTATTTATGATTATTCTATATCTCAAGTCTACAAATTAAAACACCCATTAATAGTTATAATTAACTGCATAAATCCACTATAACAGCTGCACCTATTATCAGTTATCTTATCTAAAAAAATCCAAAACATAGTTCCTAAACAGAAAAAATCATATGATGTATGTGTATGGATTACCCACTTTCATCATATTAACACATTTCTCAATTTACAATACCTATTGATTTATTTTCTGGTTTTTTATTTATAGAATTTTTTGTGCTGATGGAAATACAAAACAACTTACGAATTGTACTTTTTTGATTATCAAAAAGACTCACTCGTCTTCCTTCAACATAATTCTAGAAATCTTATTCATAAAATAAAATTCTTATAATTCTTATAATTTGTTTCCAACTATAAATTGACTAACAGCTCTGATCTCAGTATTTCGTAAAATATTAAAATGTTTTATAGTTGTTTAGCCTTATATTCAGATTGATTAAATTGCACAAATTCTCGAAAACCTATCCTAAAACACGCTCTTGACAGGCTATTGAGATTCGAACAAAATAACAACATATTTAGGTTTAGGTAATTAGTTTCAGTGAATGATTGGATTAGTTCCAGCGCTCTCCAAGTATCTTAACTGTAAATCTAAAAATAATATTAAGATTCATAACCCCAAAAATATCACTACGTCTCATTAGGTTTTCTTTTATATAAGTTACAGACGAATTCACAAAGCAGTTCAACTACGACGCGAGTGAGTAAGTCATCTACCAGTTCCACATCGACTCAAAGGGTGCACGTAACCTCGGACCTTAAGGCATCTAATATGAAATCCGATTTGGTCGATTTTAAGAATAATTTGAACGACATGAAAAGTAGCATTTCGAATTCTATTGATTTGAAGAAACTGAGGAGTTCTTTAGAAAACCTCGTAGACGCCGACGACGAAATGAACGACATTTCGCAACCTCTCGTTACCTTTCCCGATGACACACCTGTACCTTCCGAAATTAGTACTCCGACCAACCCATTGGATACACTTAAATTCGAACAGAAGACAATGAATAATTTTAAAAAGACCAAGGTAGGTACTAATCTTAGAATTATAATTAACAAAATTAAATGTTAAAAAATGTTAAATGTTTTAGTGACATTCAATTTTAATGAACGATTTATAAAATTAGGGTATTATTACTGATGTTGACCGTACCTATTTTTATGCTATCGCTTCACGTCCGTTACATCTTTATTTTTTTGAGTGACATTTGTTTTCCTATTTTGTACGAGTTCATACTTAGTAAGTAATTAGTTAATCATCATATTAATTCTAAATAATCAATTCATAGAAGGGTTATTTTGCAGATGTTCTTTTATTTTCGTTGATTTTTCAAGAATGTCAAAATATTTTCTACATACAAAAAAAAATCAAGAATATCCTACTGAAATAAATGAAATGTCAAAAATTGCATAAGTAGTTTTCTGTAAACAATTATGCCTTTAATCTATTGTTTTTGCAAATAATAAATTGATGACAAGGAAGACGTGTGTAGCACGAATATATACGAGACAAGGTTTAACTGTATGAACGTATGTAAATTTAAACGCTACTCTAGACATTGTAAACTGCCTCGATGTGTTGCCCTCAAAGGAATTTGGTTCGTGTGGTATATGTAGCTTTTGTTTCAGTTGTCTCATTACCTTTACCTTATTTTTATAATGTAACAGTTTGTAAGTATGTTTATATAATTTTATCCAAATAACCAAAGATAAAATTGTCTAAGAGCTGGCTACGTGTGACGGGTACGTGTGGCGCGATGCAGTCGAAATTATTACAGGTTCGGTTGTTACCGACATAGCGAGAATTGGGCCACCAGAAGGCACCCTAGATGTATAATGGTAGGGAGTCAAATATGTAATTTTTTCATGTAAAAAAACTGATAAGGAACATTACTGAAAATTTGCAGAATGATCGAAGACCTCATAAGTAAGTAGGGGAAAAACCGCCAGAAGAGTGGGTGCAAGATAAAGGGTAGCCAGAAGGCGCCAATGTTGCAAACAATTTTGCAATATATGTGACTGAGTGCATGTCTGGCAATTTGTATACTAGACTTATCTTTTAATTCAAAATAAGATTACGTACCAAACGCCAGAAGGCTAGATAGAGGAATAAGAGATAATGCCAATAGTAAGAGCATCGGTATCCCACTCGATCGATCACTTTTCTTTGTATTAAGTATAAGTTTCTCCTGTAAGCACTTTTTATAATGTTCAGTGTTCATTATGATAGTTACCACTTTTACAGTACTATAAAATATAGTAATATAATATGTATTGGTCATGAATCCATTTTCATTTCCAGCATATAATACAATAAGTCTTTGACCTTTTGAAACTGACAAACATAAACCATCATTTGTGCTTTCACTCCATTCACTATTATGCTTATGAGAAAAATAAGTTTGTCTCATTCATAAAAATACTTGACCTGTTTTTCTCTATAACGCTTCAAACTTCTTAAGAAATGATGCGCTGCAGCTGGATTTTGGGTTTTTCCATAAAGTTTTAGGTTCCTAGAACCAAATAAATATGTTGGACGAATATTTGGTGGGCAACGTTTTCTCAATGGTTTAAAAATTTACGACAACACGTCAAAGAAGAGCAATTCGAGGTCATCTAAGTGGGTCTTGGTAGCTTACTTTCACCGTTTCTTGTTGGTGTTAAAAAACTTGATTGTTCACCATTCGTAGTAGCATTCATTTTCGAATTTATGGCGGCGCTATCTCAGAGCCAAACTTATTTGTATCAGACTGTAGATTTCTGATAAAAAATGGGTCCGAGGTAAGAAGAGGCAAGACGGATTCCTCGTTTGTTGACTTTTTAGAGAAAATTAAAAATTTTCACAAGAATAGAGGAATGTGATTGGCGTTTTAATTTTTTTCATCATAATTGGTTCCTGATTTCAGTCTGATACTTTAAAGCGATGCAAAAATAGCACTCCAATGGTCTTGGCCTCAGACCAAGGCAATGCGCCTCGAATAGAGTCTACATATTTACGCTTTTTTCAGTAAACTAGAAATAACCACAAATTCTCTATGTATAACACCAATTAATTTATTTATTACAATATAAACAGAACAATTCAACTAAATATATAATTCTATATGATTCAGCTATACAAGGTGTAACTTTAAGTGGGGGTCAGTTTTTTAGGGATAATAAATATCTTCCCCTGAATACGAATTTGAAATTCTTTTTTTAATCAAACAAGTAGCGACACACTACACTTGGCGTAAACCAGGGCACACAGAATTGGCATATTAAGTTGTATTCATAAGCTGTCAGCGTCAGCATTGCCAATTGTATTTAAATCAATCTACATTATGGGATGTATGGAAAATAATTTAGTAAAACATATTGTATTTGTATAACTTAGCGACGTGTTATTTTAAAGACACCATATTTTTTTGATATCACTGTGGTCGAAGCTCCAAACATTAAAAAAACATTCTGTTATATCTAAAAAATAAAGTAAAAGTAAAATTTCGACATGGTACACACGTTATTATTACTATTTTGAAAATGTTGTGGATTTGCAATTAGGTGATCACCTTGGTATTGATGTTAAAATTGATTGTCAGTCTACTTCAGTATGTAAATCATGCTTGAAGGATTTATAAAAATATTAGTTAGAGAAATATGTCTCCAAGTAAATTAATTAAATTACAAGAATGTATATCAAATGAAAATTTTGAATCTGTGTATGAGTGTCTCAATGCTGCGAACAGCGCTAGTGTCGACCTTGCATATGCAGAAATTGTGAATATTCTATCTTATTATGTTAATTTAATATGTCCTGTTGTTATAAAAAATATTTGTAAGGCCAACAATAGAAGTTGGGTTGACTCCAGTCTCAGACAAATGGGTATCGAACTTAGGAATCTGTTTTGGTTAACTAAACAGTCATTAAACCAAGCTGATCATGATTATTATAGAGAATGTAAAAAACGCCATAATACTGAAATTAATAACACAGGATCGCTCATCAGCTGGTCCCACCAGACACAGACCGGTTTCGGACTTATTAGTCCTCATCAGTGTGT